AGTATTTAAGTGATTGTATAAAGGAAAAGGAAAATGTAATAAAAGAATCTTGATTGATTCTCCAGAATACTGTAAACAACTGTGCTAATAGGAACAGTTATGAACTGTGCAGATCTCAAATTATTTGGGAAATGTATTTTTATTTACTACTAGTTGATAACCCAGTATTGCCCGGGTATTTATTTATAGGGGGAAAATGTCCTGACCAAACGTAATTTCTAATGTTGGATTTTCCTGCTTACCAGAGGGAGCCCCCTTGTGGAGTATTGTGAAGCTGTTACCATGGCAACTCTACTGCACAATAGAAGTCATTTTACAGCAGTACAGTAGAATCCATTTTAAGGCACAACAGGCTGTATCTTAACAGAACACCCCCCAAGGGGTGTTAGGGGTGTCTTACCCCTACAGTATTTTTTTCCAGAGAGTGAGTCATCTGTGTAACAAGTTTGGTTGAAATTGCTCAAGGTGTTCCAGAGTTATGGTGGAACATACACACACACAGCTATTGACAGACAGACAGACAGACAGACAGACAGACAGACAGATAATGCTTGTTGGTCTTTACCAACAAGATAATATTTATATTAGTAGTTTGTAATCGACACAAGCTACTACATGGTGGACATTTTCAAACAGTGCCTTATAATTACTGACAACTTGAGCAAATCTGTAAAGGAAACTTTTTGTATTTCAGAACTGAAGCACTATAATGTGAAAACTTTTTCTCTTGAGGAAACCAAAATATGGACAATTGCCATGTGAATACAAGGTGATCCAAAACTTTCCTGTTTGAAAACTGTTTTGCCTCGCCAATTTTTTTTCTCATTTACAAAAGTGTCAATTTTGTACTTAAAAACAGTAATATTGGAAAAGTCAGACATCTACAAAACAGTCAGAATAAAATATAGGTTTACAGGCATTAGTTTGGATTAAAAATCTAAAATTAACTTGGAGAACACTAATCCTCTATACATATCCAAACGTCTCCCCCACAATAATTCCACTGTCATTTTTTTATGAATGCACATAATTGACCATAATAAAATTTATGCCAGGTTCCCAAGTATAGAATTGCAGCCTGAATGTCATATGCAGGTCATTTGAATTTTGCACTGAAGATTTATTAAATTATACTTCTTAAACTAAGGTCAGCAGGAAATTGGTTTATTGTTTTAAAGTACACTTATCTATTACTCTGTGACATAAAGTTCATGGCCCCACTAAAATGATAGGAAACCAAACCTCACAGAAACCAAGAAGAAAGTATAATAAATCTAATGTGCTGTGAGGCGCCAAAATAGCCAAAATATAAATTAGACTATTCCAAGTTCTCTACTTGGTCTGCTTTTGAAAAGTATCCAGATGTTGCAACTGGTGTACAATGGAACAGCTAAGTTGCTAATCAGTGGTATGATGCAGGGAACACATACAGTTAGAATTGAAGGTCATCACTGGTTGGAAATGGTTTACCAGGCATGGGGTAAGGTGTACTTTCAGAACCCCAAATGGCTTATGGCCGTGATGGCGAACCTATGGCATGCATGCCGGAGGTAGCACACAATACTCTCTCTGATAGCATGCAAGCCGTCGCCCCAGTTCAGTTCTGCCACATATGAGCACGCTGCCTCCCATCGGCCAGCTGGTCTTCAGATCTCTGCCGTGCATGTGCAGGGGGTGGGCCGCATGCAGGGGTTGCACATGCATGTGTGGGGTGCATGCACAAGGGTTCATGCATGGAGGTGTGCACATTGCATTTGGGGGTTCGAACGTGCACTATTTGGGCACTCTGACTGAAAAAGGTTAGCTATCACTGCTTAGGGGATAGCTATCTGAAGGTTGACCTCTTACAAATCTGCAGCAGTGGCCCTCCTGGTTTCTTTTGTGTGTGTGTGTGTGTGTGTGTGTGTGTGTGTGCGCACGCGCGCAAACACAAAGGGTTTACTTTTTACATGTTGTTGATTCCTGTGACTGTCTGGACTAGCCCTGTGCAGTTTTTCTGGAAGTAGTTTGCCTCCTTCCTAGGGCTGAGAGAGAATGACCAGCTTAGATGGCTTCATGACTAAGGTGGGACTAGAACTCATGATCTCATGGTTTCTAGTCTGAGCATCATCTACTAGACCAAACTTGCTAACTGGCTGACTGGCTCTCTCCCTCCTCTTCTGAGGTTAGAGGTTCATTTACCTGACATTCAACTATGTTGCTCCCAAGGTAGAGAATGCATTCAGCGGCCCTCACTTAAGAGAGCAGAACAACAGAGTTGTGGGGGGGGACCTTGGAGGTCTTCTAGTCAATCCCCTTGCTCAGGCAGGAAACCCTATACCATTTCAGACAAATGGTTGTCCAATATCTTCTTTAAAACTTCCACTGTTGAAGCATTCATAACTTCTGGAGGCAAGTGATTCCACTGATTAATTGTTCTAACTATCAGGAAATTTCTCTTTAGTTCTAGGTTGCTTCTTTCTTTGATTAATTTCCCTCTATTGCTTCTTGTCCTGCCTTGGAGAATAGCTTGACTCCCTCTTCTTTGTGGCAATCCCTGAGATATTGGAACACTGCTATCATGTCTCCCCTAGTCCTTCTGTTCATTAAACCAGACATACCCAGGTCCTGCAACCGTTCTTCTTATGTTTTAGCCTCCAGTCCCCTGATCATCTTAGTTGCTCTTCTCTGCACTCTTTCTAGAGTCTCCACATCTTTTTTTTTTTACATTGTGGAGACCAAAACTGAATGCAGTATTCCAAGTGTGGCCTTACCAAGGCATTATAAAGTGGTATTCTATCAAGCAAATCATTTTACTTGACAACCTTTTATTTCTTAATTGTTAATTGTTCAATGCACTTTTGAATGATCTCTTTTTGTATTCTACGTTTTATTTGTTGTTAGCAGAATCAACGGAATAGAAAGGTACAATAATAAACAAATACTTAATGTAGCAGGTTAGCTTCTGTAGGTGGATACTTTGATTCAGTGTATCATGATAGAGAGTAGAAAAAAGAAAATCAGCTTCTGCCACAATGATGCATATATAGTTACCTGGGCAACGTGGAGTTTTATGCGATACAGCTGTACCACTGATCGGACGACCATTAGGGGTGACACACCAACAGTAGCCTGTGTAACTGTGGCACTGAACCTGTGAAAAGACGTCAAGTATTTGAAACTCACAGAAAATAATGTCTCATATTTTCTTCAGAGATAGTGTTGATTCCCCCCCGCCCAATTAGTACCTATACCTGTGACACTAACCTGTAAAAAAAATGAACCATCCTTTCCACAGTTTTGCAAAATCCATGTATCATATCAAAATCAATAGGCTCATTTGATTTTATGGATTATATTAAATGGATGTAGCTTGAAACTTGAATGAGAATAGACAAAGGCTGAGCACCGTGATCTGATTGGGGAATCACTAATAATATCTTCAGTGGGTATCCAGTGACAGCTCATTCAGTCATTTTTGTCTCCTAACTTGCATGGATAGAAAAAATAAAATGATACAATCTGAGTTGCTTGTTCGACCAGAGTTTGAGTGTGTTGAATTTCAAATTCAAACTGAGTCACAACCTTTCTCAAATTAATATAGGTAGTATGGTGATGTAATATGAATTAAGCTTGTCCATTTATTTATTTTTTCCAATGTGGGGGAATGCCAGTAAAGAAGAAATAGCTGCAGCTTTAGAGCACTCTTCTCTTATTTCCCTTATTTCCAAAAGCACAAATCAATAGTGGAATAAGAGCTAGTTTGTTTTAGTGGTTGTGAAGTTGGGCAAAGAAGTCTCAGGCTTTGTACACACACACACACACACACACACACACACACACACACACACACACACACACAATAAATGCCACTGTTCTATCTATATAATCTGCCCAGAAGTACCTTGAGGTAAGATGAGTGCCCTATAAATTTTATAAATAAATACACTACTAAAACTGTCATTGTCATGATCTTTAACTAGGTGAAAAGATGCATCATAAGATAATACATTTTGATTCAAAATACTTCATATGAGCTAACTTACAAAATGCATGCAAAATCTAAGACCCATTCACAAATCACAAACATTTCTTTCTTGTGTTTGTGTACTCTATTAAAGTGTGGAGTGGATATTCATCCCAACACTCCATTAATTAAGGAGATCCTTGGAGTTCTCAGTGCTTGGTTATTTCCTTGCAGACGTCTCATTACCCAACTAGGTAACATCATCAGTGCTTGTGGTGTGGGGTTTAATCCCTGTTTACATACATAACGTGCCCTGACAATATTGGTCATTATTTTCTTGTTGATACTTACTTGATTATGGTATTGTTTTCTGCTTGATTTTTTTTATCTGATATTAATCCATGCTTATCTGGGTGTAGCCTGCTGGAAAGGATGTTTTTTTTTTTACTCCTTCTATTATTTGTTTTGAATGATGTGTAAATGTAATTTGTCTCTATATGTCTGTTAATAACTGATTTGTCTAAATGCCAAGCTTCCAGGAATTCCCTAATTGTTTTGATGTAGTCTGGTCTAGAATGTTTCCAGAAGAAACTATGGGTGAATCTCTCTGTGAATTGTAAGATTAAGGAGTTTTCATCATGTCTTTTGATTGCAAGTTTGTGTTCACAGATGATCTTCTGCTTGTCTAGCCTGCAAAGTAGCAGTTACTGGTCTTCCTATTATATGTTGTAGATGAGTCGTGTTTTTCTTCTTCTTGTGTTACTGTGTTTGGTTTGATAGAAAACTCATACTAGTTTTTGACAGACAACCCATACTACCCCAGTGCTCCATTACCAAAGTAACAATCCAACCTCCCACAAGAAGAGCTATGTAAGAACATTATTCAGATTAGTACAAATGTACTTCAGCAACACAGAAGAAAGCAATGTAACACATAAAGAAAAGAGACCATCTATTTAATATCTTCCAAAAAAAATTATATCCATGCAATTTTATTAAAAAATGTCTGACCACTTAACCCACCATAGCACAACCAACACAAGCTATGAAAAGCATAATACTGTCATCCATCAAAAACATCTCAAAAATAGCCAACAATTACAATCACACAGCATCACTGTAGAATGCAAACAAAATATAGCCTTTCAAAACATCTTAAAAGGCCTAGTAGCCCAAGAAGAAGAAAAAATAGGAGTCATCCTATTTTACATAGTGTAGCGATTGTAACAACTACTATATGGACAGACTGGCAGAAGACTTAACAGGATGCATCTATGAACACCAACTAGCAATCAGAAGATACAATGAAAAATTCTTATTTAGGGATACTACACGCAGATAAGCAGGGATTAATACCAGCCAAACAATCAAGCAGAAAACAATACCCTAACCAAGGAACTGCCAAGGAGAAAATTACACTCTCACCAATACTGTCAGAACAAGCTACATTTCATAATTATATACAATGACTGTATATAATTTCACAGTCATTGGCATTGATGATGTTGGATTGTGAAACGTCTGTAAGCAAACAACCAAGCTCCGAGAATACCAAGGACTCCACAGTTTGTGCTGTAAAATGCTATAAGTAATATGTCTGTGCTTCTTAATAAGCATTCACTTTTAGCTAAAATAAATAAGTAATTCAACAGATGGTAACCCAACTTTCAATAGAATCTCATAACGTGTGCATTGGTAGAGTTTCTTCCATCTACAATGTAATGGAGTCTCCAGACTTTTATACATGCTCACAACTTTTTCTGGAGAGTCCTCAAACTTCCAAACTACTTTTTTGAGAACAAGCAGGATTCTACTGGGTGGAGGAAAGGAGGAGACAATCAGAAATAACAGAAATGTACTAACGCAACATTGGATATCATTGGATATATGTGGCTGAGTTTTTACAACACTTGCAAGAAATGAGACAGGAAACAGGAGATACTTTCACAATACTGCTGGAAGCAGCATGAGATCTTCATCTTAACATCCTTCAGAACTTAGGAATTTAACAGTTAGATATTTTCTTATGAGCTGTTTTTATTTCAGAAAAAACAGTACTTTAGAACCAATCAGTGGTAACTCAAAGTCACAAAAAGAGACTTAAGCAGGGAAAGAAATAGGTCAAATGAATAATCAAGAATTGTTTCAATCAACCTGGCTGTAAGTCCCATCATCGTTGCATTCTGGGATGAATACTTGCTGGAACTCCTTCCGTGCTTGTTCCTGGGTATATTTCCTCTCTGCCACACATCGTGAGACATCTAAAGAAATGAGATGAATTATTAATCCCTGCACAAATGGGAATATTGCAAAATTTGTCTTTGTTGCAGCAGCATTTTGTTGTTTATACTTATACTGGCTTCCAATGCTTAGTTGAAAGCTATAAATGAACGGGGCTGAAAAATAAAGTGACAGCCACTCACAATATCTTTATTTCCAAGTATGCCCCATGCACCACAAAAATCATTCTTTAAAAATAAAGGCATCTGTTGAAGCCCACTGCTTTATTTGGAAATCTGCCCCCCCCCAAAAAAAAGATAAAAAGTGATCCAAATAATCCCTGGAAAATTTAAAGAATGGTGGGAAGCAAAGTCACACTAACGTAGACTCTTGGCAATAAGCTCATAATGTTTTCGTAAACTTTAAAACTTGCCTATCGGTTCATAAACATCTATTGTAAATGTTATTGGAATCAAACACTTTGTTCCAAGGCAACCAAAAACATTTGTTTAAGTACAAATTGGAGCTCAGAAGACTTAACATTCGTGTAACATTCATTTTACATTCTATAATCAATGGATGATTATAGAAATGTGATATGGATGCTGGCTCTGGGTCAAGTTCCTAATTCAATTTCCATTGTAGCTCAACTTAATTGGTACTCTAACAACTTGAACTTGTTTTCATAATGTCATCAGAAAAAAGCAGAAGAATGAACACAAAGGAATCTTTAAAAGTTTTGTTTTAGAAGAGCCGTTTTCAAAAAGTCCTTAAAAGCAAAGGTGGTATTCAGTGAGTTCTAACCGGTTCTAGCAAACCAGTAGCAGAAATTTTGAGTAATTTGGAAAACTGGAAAATACCACTTCTAGCTGGCTCCGCCCCCATCTATTTGCTGCCTCTTCTGTTGTTCTGCACAGGAGAATGGAGCTGGAAAGCAGGTTAGTGGGATGGGGAGGGAATGAAGATTTTACAGTAGCCTTTCCCTGGAGTGGATTGGAAATAGAGATTTTACAGTATCCTTCCCCTGCCATGCCCACCAAGCCACACCCACCATACCACACCATGCCCAAAGAACTAATAGTAAAAAAAATTGAATTCCGCCACTGCTTAAAAGCCTCCACACAGAGAGCCTTCCTTCCAATTGACTTATTCACATAGGAAACCTGGCTCACAAAGATTAACTCTTTTTACAGGGGTACCAATATACTATAAGCAGAAAATGTGACAAAAGTTGTATTTTTTAAAAAAAAATTCTGGAAAAAAATGTAACAGCAATGGCAAAAATAATAAAACAGTCTCAAATCTCCAAACATAGAACTTCACACACATAGATTTATTGTTTGGGATCTCATCAGTAACTCCAATGGGTAACAAATTACAAGTTAGGACTCTCACCCTCTCCCTCCATCCCAAGCCTTCTGGATAAAAACAGAAGGGAGGTGGCAAATGACACACAGATAAATTGTAGCTGTACTCTGATTTTTAATTTGTTTTATATTTAATTTTGTTAAATCGATAAATTGGATTTCTTTATAAGTCTACCTATTATAAAGTTGGATACAGTAATTAAAAATGGTGTTCTATGGGCTCACACAAATTTTGTTCATTTATGGCTGAAAGCTCAAAATTTTGAAAAATCTAGCCAAAGTGCACTTTAAAAGTTAGGGAAAGCATTCAAATCATGACATCTGGAATTTCTCAAATCCTAACACCAAAACTAGCCACACTAGGCATCTATATATTCTGCACAACAAAATGACACATTAAATCTGTTTTTTTCCTTTGTTCTATTTCTCGGCATGTTTGTATACATGAATATCAGTGGTGGGTTTCAAATTTTTTTAGAACCTCTTCTGTAAGAGTGGCCTGCTTTGTGGGAGTGGTTTGCCGGCCATGTGACTGGGTAGGCATGGCCAACTTGTAAAATGTAGTGAAACTCACTTAACAATGCTCTTGCTTAGCAACCAAAATGTTCACTCAGAAACTCTGGCATTTGAAGCACACAAGTCTTAAAGCTGTCAAGTTACAAGACTCTTGCACCCCTAACCCTTTAGAACCCCCCCACCCCGGGCTGTTCAAACTTGACAGCTTTAAGACTTGTGGACTTCAACTCCCAGAATTCCTCCTCTCGCTCTTCATCTTGATGATGGGTGGATGGGTGGGGGGAGGGAGCTGGAACCAGTTCTAAACGGCACAGTAGATTTGTGGAACCCACCCCTGATGAATACCCTGGGAAACACAGTACATGTTGCAGACACTCTATTCTGGGTCATATGAACAAGGGTAGCGATTTAGAACAAATGATTGTCATCCTGCCAGGAAGACCAGACTAAGAATCAACTCCACATGAAGGCTAAGACTTTATTGAGAGTAGCTACAATATTAGAATTTTGCAAGTCTGATTATGCCATGCTTTCTCAGCTGGTGGAGCAGTGGTTAAAATGCAGTACTGCAGCCTAACTCTGTCCACTGCCAGGAGTTCGATCTTGACCTGCTCAAAGTTGACACAGCCTTCCATCCTTCCAAGGTTGGTTAAATAGACCCAGATTGTTGAAGGCAATATGCTAATCTGTAAACCACTTAGAGAGAGCTGTAAAGCATTGTGAAGCGACTATAACTCTTCTATTGCTCTTTTATCTACGTGAATTGGGGTAGTTTCTATTTGAGCAAGCTTTATGCATACTTTTTGCTTCTTCTTTTTTACTTAATCTATGTTTTAGTAAAGCTTTGGTAACAGATCTGACCTAACTTTTTCAAAATCATCTTCCTTACTCTCTATAGTCTCTACACTCTCTATTATCAGCAGTATTATGAACTCTAGCTCAAAGGAACATTGGGGGGATTTTGGAAAGGATTTTCTTTGCCAGCTTCTCCCATTATACTGTATATAATTTATTTCCAATATTTCACTGTGTTGGAAATAATAAAAATGAATATTTAATGACAGATTTCTGCTATTCAAAAATCTGTGCTTCCTAGTTGCATTAGAAACACCAATTGATTTGAAAGAGAAAAACATCTCCCAAACAAGGAATCCTTTAAAGCACATTCCATAATCGGTTTTGTTTTTGCTGTATATCAGAGAAGTCTTCCATTCACACCCAAAACTCTTGCTGTAGTCAATCTATGACTATACTATGGTTGCTAACAGCTAATATTATTTTTAAAATAAAGTGCAATGGTCAGCACAGCTTTTGCACCATATGCCTTTAGCCTAAACTCATATGCTTGCTGACATGTGGTTTTAATGAAGCAAGTGTTTTAACTGAAAATAAATCTCTCTTTCGGTGGACTTCTGTCTTCATTTTTACTGCAGATGTGGTTTAAATGTCAAAAGGAAAAGCAATCTAAATTCCAACACAGGAGGGTTATGATTATACATTTGCTCAGGAGCAAATTCCACTAAAATGCATTGGGATCTATTCTTCCATAGGATATAAAATGGATTGCACTGAAGATTTAGTGCTGATAGAATTATAAACTGTTCTTCTCTATGAATCATCACCAAAGGAAGCCAGCTTTCCTCTTTACAGTATATCTAATATCGAGAGTGTATAAAAATTTGGATGTAACTCCAAGCTCTCTTATATGACTTCTGAAATTGATAAAACAATACATCTAACAGAATAGGAATACTGGTGTTTCTAAAACTAGGATTAGCAAAACATTGACAATGTTTGGTCAATTAGGCAAATGGTTTTGAAATGCAGGTGTTTATTGACAAAAGAAAAAGAAAACCATTTTTAACTGAAAATATTCCCAATATTGCCTAACCTACATTTCAAGTTATGGATATGATTCATCATATATGGTAAATATAAATGGCGTAAAACACAATGAAATAAAACACAATGAAGTAATCAAGTTCTCTTTGTTAAGCTAAACCAGCTGATCCAAAAATTATCTAAACCATATGCCATGGTGGCATGAATGCAGTATTGCTGGCTAACTCTGCCGACTGACAGCAGTTCAATCCTCATTGGCTCAAGGTTGACTCAGCTTTCCACCCTTCCGAGGTTGGCAAAATGAAAATGCAGATTGTTGGGGGTAACATGCAGACTTTTTAAATCACTTAGAGAGGACTGTAAAGTGTTAGAAAATGATATATAAGTCTAAATGCTATTGCTATGCATCAACGCCTAGCCAGAATGATGTTAAGATGCTGAATTGTACATTGTGACATTAAGGCATAAGCCTCATCCTTTCAAACATACATCACAACATTGCATACAAGTCAATAGTGGATGGAATCTGCATCACAATCTCACAATGCGTTCCTAAGACTGCCAATTTAACAATCAAGAAACTGATAGCTTTTTTAATGTTTCCACTAAAGTCAAAAAATATTCAGCTGCGAAGATGATAGCGAGATATTCATTAAGGTCACATTAGGATATGCTATATTAGCCAGGTATTCACCTTTTTTCTTACCTTATGGCTTTGAATACAGGAAGTCCTTGATTTAAAACCATTCATTTAGTGACCATTTGAATTTACAATGGCACTGAAAAAAGTGCCTTGTAATCATTTTTCACATGGCCGTTGCAGCCTCCCCATGGTTACACAATCAAAATTAGGGCACTTAGCAACTGGCATGTATTTACGACAACTGCACTGCCCTGGGGTCATTTGTAACCTTCCCAGCCAGCTTCTGACAAGCAAAGCTAATGGGGGAAGCCAGGTTCACTTCACAATCTTGTGATTCGGATAACAACTGCAATGATTTGCTTAACAATTGTGGCAAAAAGAGTCATAAAACGGGGCAAAACTCACTTGAAAACTGCCTTGCTCTGCAATGGAAATTTTGGATTCAGTTGTGGTCAGAAGTCAAGCACTACCTGTATTCGTTTTCAATCTTCAAGTAGTGTCGGGTTTTTTTGTGTCTGAGTCTGGCTAACTGGTGATTAATCGAGGTAAATATCTTAAGGAAAATAAGCCAGCTTCAAAATTACAGTATCTGAATGCTTATTTCTCAAAATTGTAGTTTTCACTTTCTTTTTAATAATATACTCAGCTGACAATAAACTAATCTCACCAATTC